GTCCGGTCTCATTTCTGTGACTGGCAGGTTTCTGATCCACTGCGTGTCAGAGGTCGACAGCCCTCAGTGAACTGTCATTCCTTTTCGAATTGGCGTCTCTTGACCATGTTAACAGGGCCTTGGGTGTTATTATATGTCCTAAACGGAGTCCTCTTTCCCCTTCTTTCCAGACCAGCCCGGCTCTGGGCTCAGAACCGAGCCGCTCATGTTTCACGTCGGCCAGGAGGTGCCATTCATGGAGGTGTCGCTCACTCACTTACCCCCACCCCCCCATTCCCCCACCTTCTTACTTAAGGCCTTGGAATTGACTTGCTTTTGGTTGAATCTCAATTTTTTCACTTAAGAGTTGTGTGTTCTTGGGAAAATGACTTAACCACTCTATGCCATGGTTTATCTGTGAAATGATTTACTAACATTAGTCCCTTAATTCCTTAAATTTGCACAATGCCTGGCTCATTGAGTGCAATCAATAAGTGTTACCCATTATTATTACTACTCAGGGAACGTTTTATCCTTCAGAGCCCAGCTCAGATACCTCCTCTGTGAAGTCTTCTCTGTATCAGGCAATTACTTCACATATTTGTCGAGTGCCTATATAGATCAATGTTCTAGGTGCCATGGATACACAGATGTGAAGGAGCTCATGGGGCAGATAGGCAGTAAGTCCTCACTTAACGTCATCAATAGATTCTGTGACTTTAAATGAAATGGCATACACCAAAACCAATTTTACCATTAGTTCATTGATATAAATAAGAGTTAAGTCCTTACGGCAAATCATTATAAAGAAACAACACCATTCGAGGAACTGTTGTATATGTGTGTGATATAAAATGGTGTGACAGTGCAACATAAGTTACATTTTTAATGATGGGGGCAAATGCTCACGGTCTAATATGTATGTAGTACACGTACAGAATAGACGGTATGATTCTAATTTAGCAAAATTTTAGGTATATACAGTTTACAAATTGAAAACCAGAGAAAATACACCAAAAGATTGAAAAGTTTATGGTGGTGATATTTTAGGCATTTTTGATTTTTTCAATACTTTTATGTATTTTTCACATATTCTGCAGTGAGCAGGCATTACTTTTATAGTTCAGATAAAAGATGACAGTATTTTAAAAGCATGAGATCTAGAGTCAGAAGGTCTTAGTTTTGCCTTCTAGTTCTGACAGTAATTAGTTGACTTCAATGGACTTTGGTTTACTTACCTATAAAATGGGAGTAATATTTGTCCTATGTACGTCATACAGTGTTCACAGGATACAGTGAGAAAAAAATAATTGGAACTATAGGTAGACACTGTCAATTGTTATATGAGCGTATCTTTACTACCAGCTTAGTTTCTTCATTAAAAAGAAAATTGGACCAAACAACATCATGACAAGAGAAACTGAATGTAAATATCATGTATGTTTGTTTTCTTTGCTAAAGAATGCACTACTTCATTAGCAGCAATGTGCAAGCACCTCTTATGTACTTGGTAGTCTGCCACGTGAAGCTAATTATATTCTCTTTGTGCTTCAGCAAGAGTGCTGAAGTGCTAGGATATATTCTAAGGAAAGCATGAGTAATGGGTCAAATGGATCCTGAACATAGTGTGGGCTAGAAAAGGTTGTAGAGAACAAAGGCCTGACCTAGTCCGTGGAGTTTTGTTGCATAATTTTTTTTTCTCCAGAGGTCAATGAAAATAGAAGGGAAAGTTGGACTGTGTGCTTATGGACAACAGGGTTTGTATTTCTTCCCTTGTGTGTAATATGAGTGCCTAGTCCCACTATCAATGAATGCAGAGAGGACTGTGATGTTTGTTCTAGTGGAATTTAGGCCAGGAGTTGTTTTGGATGTCAATTGAGATAAATACATGCTTGTATATGGAAGGAAGACTTGTATTTCTCCTCTTTTAGGTATAGTCTTTCTCGTATTCCCTTTGCTTCTGACTACTTTGGATAGAAATCTTGCTTTTGGTCAGATCTCCTTGTTAACAGATATTTCTCTTACATTCTAAGATAGGTATGATGGTGATAACTTTGTGTATTTGTGCAGTTGTCTTTTTCCAAAGCATTTTGTGCAGTGATGGTTTTGGTCCCTTACATTTCACTGTACTCTTTTCTTCAGGAGACAGCAGTATGTTGGGAAGCTCAAGTTTGCCTCCTTGGAGTTTTCCCCTGGATCCAAGAAGTTGGTTGTGGCCACAGAGAAGAATGTGATTGCAGCATTAAATTCTCGGACTGGAGAGATCTGTGAGTGAATTTTATGTACGCCAGTTAGCTCGGGATGGAATGGCTGACCACAGTGAATCCAGAATGGCCTGAGGCTTGTGAAGTATGCCTGGTTGGTTCCCAAATTAGGGAAAAGTCAGCCAAAAGAGGCATCTCTTGCTGGATTCCAGCAATTCTCTTTTTCTGTCTTGTCATTTAATGTATTTCTATAACTGGCCTTTGTAGTTTATTCCCTCAGCCCAAGTCTTGAGTGTTCTTAAATAAGATATTGCTGCCAAAAAACCACGTTATTCTGTTTTGCACTAAAGGTTTGGATTTGCCACCCCATCCCCAAATTACTTGGATAGGTGATTTATAATCTCTATTTTTCTTGTGACTCATATGGACTTTGTTAATTTTGTCATTGCTCATTTATGTGTTTGGCTGGGTGGAAGTGGGGATGGGAAACCCAGAGACCGCATTGGGATAGTAGCAGCTCCTCGCAACCCCTCGTCCCCTCATTTCCCAGCGACTGGGAGTGGATCATCGTCAGTAACCTGTAATCCTTCCTTCTCTTGACATAAAAATTGGATACTGCTGTGCAAACCAAGACCTCTTCAGTTCTCTCCTACCCATTTTCTTGGATATCTGTGTTCAGTTCATAGTAACGTCCAACTCTCGTTGTCTCTCAGTGTGGCGCCATGTTGACAAGGGCACGGCAGAAGGGGCTGTGGATGCCATGCTACTGTATGGACAAGGTAAGCAGAGTCCTGCTTTGTCTCTATCATGGTGTTGGCTCCCTCTTCCCGTTCCTTGGTTCCGTCTACAGGGTCTGGTAGGGAATGGAGAAGGGGTGTTCCCAACAGGAAAGAACAGGTATGCAAATAGTCCCTACTTGCATTCATACATCAGAAGTGAGGCAACTGCTCACAGGCCCTAGGAGGCTGCAGAGCACCAGTTTGGGAGATGACGTCACTGTGTTCTTTTCTTTTCCAGATGCAATCACTGTGTCCAATGGAGGTCGGATCATGCGTTCCTGGGAGACTAACATCGGGGGCCTAAACTGGGAGATTACCTTGG